AATCTTTTAATGATTATAAAACCTTATGCTTATCACATGATTGCTTGGGAGAGAGTGTAGAGCGTTTGGGTGTTTTGGCGGAGAGTACTTGGTACGATGGGCTGGAGTGACTCGCTAGAGTCTAATCGTTGTAGAAATTTTCATAATTGGCTTTAAACATTTTTATTATTATAGGGAAAATGGTCAAATATGCCCTCGAACTAACTAAAAAAGTGCAAATAGGCCCTTATATAGGAGGTTCTATCCGGCCGTCGCCATTTGGGGCTATTCCCGATGTAATTTTTTGATGAAATTTTTTGAGCATCTTCTTCATTAAGTCTAGTTTACTCATACCAAATTTCAGCTAAAAATTCAATCGGAAAGGCAGTCAAATGAATTTTTGAAGATAACTGCGCAGTTAAACAGCGCGGTACATTTCAGAAACTCATTTGACTGTCTTCCTGGTTGAATTTTTATCTGAAATTTGGTATGAGTAAACTAGACTTAATGAAACAGATGCTCAAAAAATCTGATCGAAAAATTCCACCAGGAACTGCCCCAAATTGCGACGGCCGGACAGAGCATCCTCTATAAGGGCCTATTTGCACTTTTTAAGTTAGTACGAGGACCTATTTGACCCTTTTCCCATAATTATATTACTACCTCCGTCCCAAAAAACTTTGCCATTTTCAAAACTTTGACCGACTATATCTTTCTATTGATTTTTTTTTAATATAAAAATTATATGAAAATGTTCTTTATTAAAAGTACTTTCATAAAAGTATAAATTTTTTAACTTCCATAATATTATACTTATCAAAATCAAGGTTCAAATTTTTTGAAATGGCAAAGTTTTTTTGGGACGGAGGTAGTATATTATATGTATAAGTGTTGAAGGATGTGATGCACTTTTTTTTGAGAGTAGGATGTGATGCACATTCTTTTATGCATTTAGAATTTTGAGGTCTACATAATCCCAAGCATCATATTAAAGCATCCAATGTGCCTTTTTATTATTGCAGATGCATCGGAATTGCTAAATACCTTCTAGTCTTAAAAAGGCAATTTATTAATTAATTAATCTTTGGCAGCATTTAAATAGGGACCACGCAGGGAATTTCAAAAGACAAATATGGAGTAGTTGGTAGCTAATTATATTTGCACAACATTCAATACTTTTGTTTTCTAAAAGACAATTTAACAATTATTTTAGTTAAGCGTTTTCACATCTCCCGTTCAAAATGGTGTTGTCACTTTTGTGCTTTATAATATACTCCCTCCGTTCTTTATTAACTGTCTCGTATTCCTTTTAGGGAAGTTTTTAATTATTTGTCCCTCTTTCCCTTTTTGGTAAGTTTTTTCAATCAAAATACTTTTATACCCCCACTTTTATTACCATTACCCCCTTCTCTTTCCTACTTTTTCATTTACCCATAACCCGCTACACCTTTTACACTACCCCTATTATTTTCCTCTTAAAACCCGTGTCAAAGCCTAAGAGGACGGATAATAAAGAAGGGAGGGAGTATAGATTATGATATATTTTACTTTTTTCCTTTTAGTTTTTTTGTACTTTGCTTTTCGTGGTCTTGAGATAAGCAAATGTTGAGCATCAAGTCACTGGCTACGAGAGCCAATTGAGACGTATGCCACAAATTGAGAGCATTAATTCTCAAATCTTATCAACCATACCCTCAATTCCCTTAGCCATTTTAGGGGGTGTCCCCAATACGGATTCAAGAGGATTTTAATAAAGTTTAGAATTTCGTTAGAATCCAGGTGTCCCGGATTTGGATTTCTGTGGATTTCATGAAAATAAGGGTGTTCTCAAACATTGCATGGATTTCTATTGTTACTTATTTGGATGGATTTTAATGGATTTTGATTGATTTCTACACACACAAACATTCCACCACAAATTTTGTAGAATCCCTCAGATTTCAAAATCCACGATATTTTAAAATCCATCCAAGTCCTAGTTGGGGACACCCACCTTAATCTTATATGAACCTTACTCTCAGGCATGAAACCTTAATATTACTCCCCCTCACAACAAAGCTCACAGTTTTCTTACTTTTACCTTCAAACTACGTAACACTCTCAATCTCATTCCTCGCATTAGTGTCTCTCATTACAATACTATGGGGGTAAATTCGTGAATCTCCTTCTCACGTGTCTTGCCTACTCCAGTGTCCCACTCTCAATCCATCAATAACTTTGATTCCTTTTATGGAAGATCTCATAATGTATCACTTTGTCCCGTCGGACCTCGAGGTATCGTTCTTACTAAGAAATAGTATAACCTTCTTTGTCCTCTCAACAAGTGATGGAGATTTAGACATTTTCCAAATTAATAGTCTTACACACTAATGAGACACTAAATCAATTGGAGAGGACATTTTGCAAATTTGGCAGATTGACAAGTCCACATTTTGACACGCATTTGTTGCGTGTTGGGTTTGGTTTTTATTGGTTTTTCTAGCTTAAATGTGTCACAAAACACCTAATTAGCTCAAGTCATAATTTACCGGGTTTTGGTTTACATTTGGTGTTTTTAGAATTAAAATTAGGAAATTGAGCCCGACACCGGCGTTGGAGAATTATCCGAGATGAATCGAGACGCATCTGAGAGTTAGTCAGAAGTATTGAAGGTCCACGAGTCATTAAAGGAGTGATCTTGAAGGCAAGGTAGCTCAAGGATCAAGTACGAGATCAAACGGGGACGTATAAAGCTTGAAAAACTGTGATCAAGATGACGTTCTGTCGACAGTTCGAGCATATCTTTTCGTAAAAACATCAAAAGCACATAATTCAAGTTTCATATGAAATGTAACTTAAAGGGATACAAATCATATGGAGACACCATGACGAGAATGTGAGAGGATCAAGGTGAAAACAGATGAGGAAGTCAGATAATCGCTGATGAGATTTCAGAATGCAACCTTCCACCATTTGTTTCACATCTTTTAAGTGGATGATACAATATCAGTTTTGCAAGTTGTTGTGGATAGAGACCTTCATTAGCTACAACTTTGGTTTAGAAAGCATAGTCAAATTTGAACAGAAAAGGCACACGTCGTGCGCCCAAAGTACGCACGCCATGCGAGGAAGAAGAAATCACGAAAAGGTTATTGGAGGCCGCGGACGTCGTGCGCGGAAGTTTTTCAGCGTTTTTGCTCCGGGCGCACAGACGCCACATGCGCCGTTTTCTATTTAAACAGTTTGTAAATCCTTGTTTTTTAGGGAGAGCTTAGCACGATATTTTGAGAGCTTTTCAACCTTGGATCTTTAAAATTCTGAGATTATTTGTAAGCTCTATTTTTTTAATCAATGGCAATTAATTCTTTCCTTCTCAATTCCGTTGATTCTTCAATTATGAATTGTGAGTAGTTGTAATTAGGGATTTGGGATTGATGAATAGGTTAATCATGATCTAGGGTTATTTTTTTGATGGTTTAATTGCATGATCTTTATTTAATTTGTGTTTGAATAATTTAATTGATATCTTTTGTTACCTAGAACGGTTGTTAGGATTATAATTGCACATAGAATAATTTAAGAGAAATCTATATTATTCTATGACACTTTCACACACACTTAATCATTCGCTAAGTTATTACTTATTAGTAACAGTTAGTGAGCCGTACTTTGTTCATTTTGACAATAAATTAGAAATTTGTCGCATGAGAGATCGGTCTGGTTCTCTAAATTATTGCTCTACGCCGCGAGAGTGGTAAAAACTTAGTATTGATCAGTGTTGCTCAATTAAATAGTTTTCATGTGATTAAGCCTAATCAGACCCGAAATCTGGTTGCCCCCAGAATCAATCTTCACATTTTTTATTTATTTTAATCACTGAAACTATTTAATACTTAATTCCGTCCCTGTGGAGATGATACTCGTACAGTCGTCGTACTTATACCCTATATTACTACACATATTTTAAGTGCGAGAAAACTCACAATCACATATACATTTCAATTCTTGGTTTTTCATATGACAAATAAGTTCTAGAGAGCTTGAGAAATGTGGCCCCACAATGATGTTTGAGAATTGAGATTGATCTGGAGAAACATGAGAGTGAGCCAAGCTATAGCTATTATATGGGAAGAAACGATAACAATAAAAAGTTGATTGCATTATTACAAACCGACTTTTTATTATGTGGACCGAACGGACGAACCGCATATCGGGCTATAGCATATGACTATCTCGAGTTCTCCTCTCCGGTTTGCTATAGCATATATGTGGCGGGCATACAGGCATGTATATCTTTGCTCTTCATGGACCATGGATTTCTATGATGCTGCCAATACGTAAGAAGAGGTTTTATGGCTTCTTCGCATGCAAGATTGGAAGTGACCTTGGATGGCCTTCGGGTTTTTCTTGTGAACCATGGGTTTTATCCTTTCATTCCAATGATTCAATCCAATTGCTTATCACATGTGAATGCTCTTCGTCGTTGTTATTGTGGGCCTTAATTGTGTGCAAAACGTGAAGACCATTCTATGTGGTTCAGATAATGCAATCCTAGTATTTTCTAGGCAAATTGTAATCTTATTTGTTTTCATACCCGTTTAATTAATTAATTAATTACTTATTAATGATGCAATAAAATTTGATTATCTATTTGACAATTGTCCTACACTATTTCATACAAGATTCAACATCAACACACTCATGAAAGTGTTAATATTTTAACTTGAAAGGTGTTTCTAGGCATGATATAAGAATGACGTTGTCATTTCGAGTTTCCACCAACATTTTACAGTAAAAAATCATATGTTTGTTCTTAAGAATAGTACTTGGTCATAACATTGTAGGGTTCTTATGATTATTTCGTTAGGTTTGCTTGAAATGCACATTGTTGGATCCACTGTTAAGATTCTCCACCACCTGGTCTTTAATAAGTCTCCTCATGATTTTTCCTGAAGGTGATTTAGGTATGGAATCAACAAATTGCACAACTCTCACGCGCTTGTAGTGTGCTACGCAAGATGCAATGTAGTTCATGATGTCCTCTTCAGTATCCTTTGCTCCAGGAGACAAAACCACACACGCAGCAGGAACCTCTCCAGCTTCCTCATCGGGTAACCTGCAATTTATATTTTATATATTAAATATATAGGCACCATTACATAGTTTTTTTTTCTTTTAATTTCCACTGTACCCGACAACAGCAGCATCTTCGACTGAAGGGTGGCTGAGAAGTGTTGCTTCTAACTCGGCAGGAGCTACCTGTAAGTTTAAGTCAGCAATTTTGACTACTTGATGAAGGCCGAACCTATCTTTAGGATCTTATTTAAGTAATCCCTTTTGGACACACTATGGTTTTGAAGTTTTTTTTGTTCACATTGTGTTTCTCTTTATAAAGTAAGATGACATTTTATTCTAATTTTCCATTTTGTCTTCACAAAACCAAGACAATGCCTTTCAGAAAAAAACCAAGACAACATATTCAATGATAGGAAATTTGTGAGGGGAAATATTTTTGAAAATTCCATTTAGTGATTCTTTAATTTACACATTTTTTCTCCAAAGTTACTTATTATGAACTAGAGGTAGTATGAGTTAGCTGTTAGTAAGTTTTTTACTTGGAAACCCTTGAACTTGATCAACTCTTTGATGCGGTCCACGATAAAGATGTCTCCATCATCATCGATGTAACCAATGTCCCCGGTATGAAGCCAGCTATCCTTATCTATTGTAAGGGCAGTCTCATGCTCATTATTGTAGTAACCTGAATAATAGTTTCAGTGAGTTAAAAGGTTTGTTTTCTTAATAGAAAAGAATGAAATACGGAGTTAGTGATTCCACATTTCCACCTTTCATAACACATTGGCTTCTCACACAAAGCTCTCCCGGGGTGTTTCTTGGAAGAGAGAGACCAGTTTCAGGATCAATGAACTTCACTTCTAGATTGGGAAGAATAAAACCTACTGAATTTTTCTTCGCAATGGCATGACCCAATTTTGGATCTCCATGAGTAAGCGTGATGCAACTGTGCTCAGTCATCCCATATGCCTGTCAACAAAAACAATAATCAGAGTGCAATTCAGTGTGTGATATTACTTATGTAATCTTACGTTACTTAAGAAGCCCAATGCCCACACAATGTTAAAATATTACCAAAGGTAATCTCACATTACCAAATAAACCCAATGTATTGCACACTACCCCTAACGGTACCTCATTTCCCGACATGTAGGTGATAATAACGAAATCTGAAGTAAGGTAATCTCACATTACCTCTCACATTACCATGGTAACATGAGATTACAAGGACAAAACGCCCTTTAGAATGATTCAAGTTTTATGTAGAGTATATTCAAACATTAGCGGATTTCTTTCTCACCTCTTGGACTTCAACATTAGGGAATTTCTTTTGGAATTCATTAAGAATTTCAGGTGCTAGGGGGGCAGCAGCCGTCATGATGGATTTGAGTTTGAGCTTGGAAAGATCAAACTCGTCTACAATGGGGTTCTTGACCAATCCCAAAATGATGGGTGGCACGATTGGTGCAAAGTTGACTTCATGGTTGATGAGAGCGCCTAGGAACGCTCTCAATTCATACCGGCGCATGACCACCACTCTTCCCTTGTTTCTCATGGTTGCACAACAAATTCCAACCAATCCATATATGTGAAAAAATGGGATTAGCCCTAGTATAACCACATTCCCTATTATATCTGGTCCTACACTGAAGAGTGAGGAGCAAAGGTTAGCCACCAAATTCCTATGTGTCAGCATCACCCCCTTTGACACACCGGTCGTGCCCGATGAAAAAGGAAGGGCACACAAGTCACTCTGCTTCACCACCTCATCTCCGGAGAGAGTGAGATCATTGCTTGCACGATCTGAAGCTTCAAGCAATTCTTCCCACTTTATCGTCCCCTGAATATGCTCCTCATCTACTAATATCACTGGAATTCCCAAATCTTTAACCTGCCATTTGTGAAAATAGAAATGTTAATTTAATGATCGATATAAGGTTCTGGGGGTCACTTTTGATGGAGGAGAATAAGACTTTGGGGGTGCTTAGTCCATATCTTAATAGAATGTTTTTAAGACCTATTAATGCAGATTGAAATAGTATATTATTGCATCTTATGTTATTCCTTCAATGTTTACAATCTTAAATATATTATCAAGAAATGGACTCTGTTTGGGAATTGGGTTTCAGAGGGGATGGCTTTAGCCGGTCAACAGGTTAAGTGTATTTTTGGAAATGTTTGAGATTCTTAGGAATGGACGAAATGGCAGATTATGTGAGACTGTGAAAATATACTATGTGTGTTAATGAATGTTCTATTTGTCTATCAACAACAACATCCAAGTCTTTGTCTCAAAAGAGTTCGATGTCTGTTTGTGATTGAATCATTGTACAATCACATACCTACATGCATACATAAATACACACATATATGTAGCTATATACTTTCAGGCACACACATACTTCATTTATAAAATCTCATATATTTATCAAAATATGGACTAAGCCATCCAAAGCCTCCCAAAATGTCTAACCAAACATAGTTCAAGGATCAGCTTGGGAATTGCTCTTTGTAGGGCAGGTTTTGGCTGGGCTAAACGTCTATCATGATATATTAGTCTAAGCTTTTCAAAGCATTCATATCCAAAACCCTCCATCTAAATAGATCAAAAGGATGACTAGTTGCCCGCACATGGAGGACTGCATACATTACAGTATTTATCTGGTCAGTGTTTTGAATAAGAATCGAGTAATAGTTTTACGAAAACTATTTTAGTTGACCTAGAATGCCTTGGTGTATTTTAAATCGATTACCTATTTTCATTTTAATGATTACATTTCATTGGAATAAGAAGGGTAAAATTTGGGTGGAAATGTTTAATGACCATATTTTGTAGAAGTACAAATAATTTTCTGTATAAGTACAAATAAAAACAAAACACAAACTAGGTCAATGTAGACATATAATTAGGAATGAGTTCTCAATTATTGGCTTCGCATAAAACATCATCTATATGTGTGCGAAGGTAAATCTTATATTGAAAGTTGAATATATATTACCTTGGGATAAGTTGAAGCATCAGTGACAATAAGCTTTGCGTCGGCCATTTCAACTTGCTTCTTGAGTTCAGAAGCATGGGAAGCTGGGTTGGCACCAGATAAGATGCCGCCAGCAGCCATGATTCCAAGTGCAATAATGGCATATTCAGCCACATTTGGTAGGGCAACGACCACCACCCGCCCCTTTCTGAGGCCTAGTGACCTCAACGCCTTTGAGAATCTCTTAATATCCTTTGCAACTTGGCCATAAGTGTATGCTTTTCCAGTGGTAGCATCCACAAATGCCACATTGTCCGTGTACAGTTCCACATTGTGAAGTACGAAGTCAGGCAGCGTCATGTCATCAGGAACTTGGACAGGAGGATATTTGCTCCGGAATATATGGCTGTCCTTTGGTTTCACAATGGTTTGCTGTCCAATGTCAGATCCCATGTTTGTTTGACTGTAGTATGTCACTATGTTGTTTACCAGGGGAAATTAGTAGTATGATGTATGAGTTAAGGTGATATGTATTATAATTTATAGCGGTGTTTGTTTTAAAGTCATGGGTAGGAAAAGGGTAGAAGAAATGCAAAGAGAATGATGAGATTGTGATGGGCAATTAAACAGGTAAGAATTTGTTAAGTCATCCCATTTCACATCATTTACATGTCAACAGTCAAAGGCTATGTAACTTGTTAAATGCTCTTCAATGGCTAAAAATACTACTCTCCATCAATATTTGTAACAATGTTTTTCTTTAAAAGCTCAATTCACGTTTTTTACTTGAAGTCATGCTTTAAATAAAGTTTTTGAACATGGTATTCAAAACTATATATATATATATATATATATATATATATATATATATATATATATATATATATATATATATATATATATATGTGTGTGTGTGTGTGTGTGTGTGTGAAATTTAATCAAACAACTAATAATAAAAAATGCATAGAAGTTTGATTGTTAATCAAAGTTGCACTTTTTTTAATCATAAAAAAATTATCAAAGTTGCACCTATACTAAATTTCAAATGGTATACATTTTACCAAGGTATGTAGTTTGGTTGGAAGCAAAGCCACGTTTAACAATCACCAAAACAACACATAGGCATGTTTAAGTTTTGCTATGGAAGTGCCATAGAAAAGAACAAAAGGAAGTATAATAAAAATTTAATGTAGGAAATGCAAGGACTAAAATAAAAAGGCTAAAGGGTCGAATAGGCCCCTGAACGTATACGAATTGCTCAATTGGCACCCCAAATCCCAAAAAGTTCTGATCCAACTCACCAACCAAATTAAATACTTCAATCCACACATCCACTCGGTTACCTCCCATTTGCCCCCCTTAAATGTCAAGTCAGCATATTTATCTTCATATTTAATGCTGAGTCATTAATAACCCCAACCTCCTCCATTAAAATCTCCGGACCAAGGAAGCCTACACAAATTATATGTTACACCCGGTATTTTTGTAATTGTTTAGAAGATGAGCTACGTGGCTGGTCAATAGGGGTGAGCATGGGACTGTACGGGACGGTTATTTCGAAAAACCTGTCCCGTCCCAAAGTACGGTTCTTTTAAAAATCAAGAACCGGTACCGTCCTGCGTATATGTAGAACCTGTCTCGTTCCGTACCAATTTTCGGTACGGTACGGTTCGGTACGGTTCTTAAATAACTAAATAACCCCCATGAAATATAAACAACATTAGATTTTAACATTTATAAATAACTCTACAAAAATTGAAGAGATGAACTTGCAAGATTATATTAAACTGATATTGTGTGATCAAATTGAAATATGAAACAAATAGTCAAACTATATTAAACAAAGGTAACATCCAAACTAAAATGCAAAAGTGATCGTCAAACTGAAAAACCAAAAAGTATCACATCACATGACAAAAATAATCAACTTAATAATTCATATTTGAGCTAGACTAAATCTACCAGAATTCTAGGCAATGGCATCAACCATCAGGACCTCTGGGTGATTTCTGTCAACAATCAATATTAAGCCTTGGGATCAGGGCCTCAACAATGTCGATTAGGTTTAAGAGTTTTTGTTCTATTTAAGTGGCATTAGACCATTAGCACTGTTTTTGTTTTAATAATTGGATTGGGCCCAAAGAAGATGTAAGAGTAATATACAGACAATTATACTCGGTATATAATATATTATATATATTATTATATTATATATATTATTATATTATATATAATATATTATATTATAACACTAGTTTTCGGGACAATTCGGGACGGTACGAGATGGCCCAGTTCGGTACGGTTCCGGGACAGTTCCGGTACGATTTTCACTAAGAACCGGTACCGTACCATATTATTAAAAAAGCTCGGTACGGTATTACATTTTTCCGATTCTATCGGTTCTGGAATGGTTCGGGACGGTTCTTCGGTACGGAACGGGAATTCCCAGATCCGTGCTCAGCCCTACTGGTCAACTACCCTATTTGAATTTCACATCATCATTTTTTATTCCAAATTAAAGCTAAGCCGCGGCGCATACGAAGAGAAGATGAATAGGCCGACACGAAGGAACTCCAAGGGTTTTGGCCCATCTGACGCGTGGAGCGCATGCTGGAGTGCTTTGATTTATGTGCAGGGTTGCTGGATTGCTTTGATTAGTTCATGGCCCAACATTTACTCATTTTTGAAATGATTTTTATGTTACACATATATGAGCATCACTTTTAAAAATATGAGCATTGGTGTAACATTATAAAATGTGTACGCAAAATGAGTTTTATGCTATATCCAAATGAGTATAATATTTACACGAAATGTACATCGATATAACGTTTTAAGATAAGCACTATTACAGTTGACTATTCAATTAAGATGTTTTGATGCTCAATAGGTTTAGAAATATTTATGCTAAATAGTGTTTAGAAGATAATAAATATATCGTTATGTTAAATATATCGTGATACTCATTGTTAGCCTCATAATAATCAATACAATAGGTCATATGCTCACTAAAAGTACATTATTGCTCATTTAGCGGAAGCCGTGATTTTTCGCTTAAATTACAAAAATGTCACCAAAAAAAATTAAGTTGTTTTAATTAAACGGACTTTCTTAATTAGGCCTTTTTTGTGGGCCTTATTAGGTTTTTTTCCTTACTTTTTCATACTTATAATGAACATTACACCAATATCAAATGAGTATACATACTTACGAAATGAGCACAAAAAAATTCAGAAAGATCATTTAAAATCTCTAGTCCACTACAAAAAAACTCACTCTTTGTCACGGATTTTTGTCACGGATTACGGCCGTGACAAAGTTGTCACGGGCTTTGTCACGGAATATTGGGATTTATCACGAAAATGTGTTGTCACAGATAGGTCTGTGACAAAATCCGTGACAAAGTATTTGATGGATAGTCTACCCGGGGGTATATATCCGAAGGGTTATTGCTGAGAATAACTTAGAGAGAAGTCAGAGCACAAGTAAGTAAGAGAGAGAGTGTATTCAGTATGAATGTCGTGGTTACAAATGGGGAAATGGGGGGCTATTTATAGTAGCAATAAATGCCGGACAGGGACACGTGTCAAGCATCCGTTGGCCGAGAGGTCACCTCATCCGGTTGGCGCTGGCAAACGCATGTGGCCGCATTTAATGCGGCTGTTGGATGGGACGTCTGTACAGGGTACGGTGATCTGTACGCATGTGAGGCGGATATCATGTCGGGAGAGGTGCCTTCGGCTATAGGGCAGCAGCCGAGGGCTCCTCAAACTGATGGCACCCTGGTGCCGAGGGCTCCTGGTGCCGAGGGCTACTGTTTTTGCCGTTTTCTCCCAGTTTCTTAGTTTGCTTGAGAACCCCGTTCTGTAAGAGTTTAGAGCCTTCGGCCAGGGGGCCGAAGGCACCCCTGGCGCGTAGTGCGGGCTGCTTGGTACTCTGGGCGCTGTGATTTGGGCCTGTCGAGCCTTCTGGGCCTGTTGGGCCTTTGCTGGAGTAGTAGGAGTCTGTGGGCCGGGGGTTCCCGGGCCATATACTCCATCAGGAGTCCCTCACTCCTTTTGCCGAAAGGTATTTGAGGGAAAAGGAGTAATTCGTGCTTGCCCTTTGATGTTGTCCTGTCGTAATCTCTGAAGTTGGTGAGGAGTTGTTGTTTTCATGTCCCTGCCGAAGGCAGTCCCTCAGTTACCCACATGTCGGGACTTGAGGGCTTGCTTTGTCGTTTGTTGGAATTTCACTAATTTTGTAATTTAATGATTTTCCCGAGGGGGTTCCCCAGTCCCTCACTCCTTGAGACACTTGTAAAGTGGTGAAAAGGAGTAAAGTAGTTGCGTTGCTGTTGTGGGCCGAAGGCTGACGCTTTTCGTTTCATTTTGGGGGGATGCCTCGTTAAAAACCTCATTAGGAAAAACCCTGGGGGAAAAAATCCTAATGAGGGAAAAAGAGTGCACCGAATTCCCCCAACGATGAATCGAAAATGTGAAACCTTGGTCAAAAATGGAGAATAACGGTAATGCCGAAGGCTCTTCTTTTTCTGAGGGCTCATGTGTTGATTAGCCGAAGGCTTGCTGTTGATGTCCTGGGGTGCCGAAGGGGAGCCCCTCAATCTGTGGATCGAGGGCCTGATGGATGAGGGCAGCAGTGGAGTTGTTATCGGGGGGTCCCCTGCTTGCTGGTTAGTTGGTGATGAGGATACCCGAGGGCTCCCATTACCTGTGTGCTGTAGGCTATCCGTCATTGAGCCAACTCCCCGGGGGCTACCCGGTTTTACAGTGCTGAGGGGGGATCCCCGAGGGGTGTCCTGATATGAAGCCTTGGGCTTCTAAAGGAGTGATCCCGGGGGGCGACTGTAATGTACCGTGTGGGGCATAAGCCGGGGGCATCTCTGGGTAAATGTACCCGGAGGCTCTCCTTGGTGAAGTGGAGTGAAGTAAAAAAGGTCCGGGGGCTCCCAGAATATAGCCGTTGGGAATATAGCCGTTGGAATACGTACCGTCAGGATATAGCCGTGGGGGGGGGGGGGGGGGGGGGGGTACACGTGGCGTGTGATGGTTGGCTGTCCGTGGGCGGCATCACTGGTTGGGCGAAGATGCGGTGTGTAATGATGGCGGTCCATCCGGAGGCCCGGAATCCAGGCCCAAGCCCGGATTCTAGCGCCTATAAATACCCCAAGGCCAGAGCCATTTCTTCTTGTGCGATCATTTGTCTTAGCGAAGCTCTGCCAAAACTTCTAGAGAGAGAAACTCAAGCCTTCGGTCAAAACTCAGCTTTCAAGGTCAGTGTCCTGCTCTCCTCTCAAAACTTTCAGTAACTCCCGCCCTCTGGCCTTAGATTAGGGTTAGAGTCCTGTAGAAAGCCTTCGAAATCTTAGGCACATTTCGTGATAAAAAATGTCGTCCGAGAGCGATTCCCAGGACATCTCGAGGACGCCCTCGATGGAGGACGAAGGCATCTCCGACGTGGAGTCCAGTAGCAGTCAGCCCTTGGATGGTGGTGATGCAGCTCTCGCCACCGAG